AGCTCATAGTGATGACTCTCAAAGAAACGCCCTATTTTGAGTATCTGCTCTTGTAATTTATCCTTCAGCAAAATGTTTGCACTCACAAGCTGGTCTTTCTCTTGCCCATCAATAACATTTACAGTGATAATTTAAGAGTTGGTGATGTATTTGCCCTGGGCAATGCAACAAGTGTTTTTAAGAAGTTCAGATGTTGCTGAGAATGTCATCACTGAATTTCAACAAGCAAATTTACTGGGTGTTCCTCACTAGGTAACGTGACATAACCTTTTGTAATAACTGAGTTTCTGTTAGTCCATAAAGTTTTGGGATGAGGGGTGCTGGTAACTTTTGGTCCCTCAGGCCTGTATTGACTGACAGGGATTCTGTCCTACCTGTCCTGTCAGTCCAGCTGAAGCTTTTGAAAAGATTGAGTCCATGGGTGTTCTTCTTTCCTCTGGCTTTCACAAAAAAAAAAAAAAAAAAAAAAAAAAAAAAAAAAAAAAAAAAAAAAAAAGAAAAAAGAAAAAAACCAACCAAACAAAAAAAACCTCCATGCACTTCACATCTTGAAAGTTAATCCTGTTAGAAATGTTTCTTTTAAAATGCAGGGGTGCTGGTGTGTGCAGCATTCCCCTGTGGGCCAGCCCTAGAAGGAAAGGAGGATTTCAGTGATTATTTGTTCTGGCTACTTGAGTTACCTAGAGATACTGAGAAGGGGGAAAAAATATTTAGAAACCACTATGAAACTGAGTATTGAAATCACTTTGGACTTGCTTTTCTTTCTAGAATAATGCAAAGTTGTATCCCTCAGAGTAATTTAATATCTTCATTAATCTCTCAGTGACTGAGAGCATCACATATCGACAATAAAGTATGAAAGGAAAATGTATTTTACATTGAATCATTCTGTCAGGCTTCTCAACAGCTGTTGTCCTTAATTATGTAACATACCGTTGGTATTTCTTCATTTAAATTTAAAGATAAGCAGTTGTAGAAATGGTTGAGCACGTGTGCGTGTAGACTGGAAACAGGTTTATGTCATGAGCATCCTTGGATTCCCTGTCATCATTCCTGTAACTTGGCACGCTTCTTAGAAGTCACCCATGATTAATGCAAAAATAACAACTATCCTGATAGCCATGCTTTCCGTCACACTTCTTCTTTTTTCCTAATTCTGTAATTGCAGCTTCTGTAAATTATTTTTCTTCCTGTCAGTTTTTGGTCTGCATCAGTGAGATCTTGATGGAAATGAAGAGGATGATGTACCAGTAGGTTGTGGGGGAGTGTGAAGCATTATTTTCTTGCCAGTGAGTTGTTACAGATTTGCACATGCAATCTCCTGAGGAATTACTTAATACATCTCCAGTGTCCTGCTGTCCCTGGTGGGCTGTCTGTCCCCACTGCCCTGGCCACTCTGCTCTGCTGGGCACAGACAGGCTGTGCAGAGCAGGAAAGGGCTGGGTGCAAGGCAGCGGCACATCTCGTCCTCCCTTCTTGTAAACTGGTTATTTTAGTTTAAATTACTCCTGTGCAAATGCAGTGATCTTTGAAATGACATTTCAAAGGGGTTTGTGTGAAGGAGTGAGTGGAATTGTAAAGTTACATTGTAAATTTATGTTATTCATGGGGTTCTCGGTGTGATCTTTGAATCACAAGAAGTGATTTTTGTTGGTGCTGAGAGTGTTCTACGCCTTATTCCCGGAGAAAAGAGTAATGTTCTTTTCATGTTAATTGTTTTTGAATTAGGTTTATTCTTCTGCAACAGGTTCCATTTCTGCAGTAAGTATTTCAGATGAGCATCTAAACTCAGATGGATATTAGTAAAATCAATGGGTTTTTTCCCAAGTTTGGGGTTTTTTCCAAGCATTCTGTATTCTGTAGAGTAGGAATCAGCAAGTAGCAGCGGGCTGTTGACAGCTGTGTGGAAATAAGGCTCTAGAGAATGGCTTTGCAGTCTTGTTTTGTGGGATTCACGTGGTGGAATGTCACCACTGTGAGCTCCTGGGCTGCCTGTTCACTTCCACAAACTGTGAGAGAGATGCACAGTGAAATAAAAGAGGAGTGAACGTCCCGGGGCCCACACTGTCATCTCAAACCCAGGCCAACTCTAAGAGCATGGGATAACTTATTTTGAGAGGGAGCACAGTTATATCTTCTAACTTACCCTCTGAAAATTAACTTACAAAACATTGCCTCTCTGCTGGTTTTCTCAGAAGCCTATGGCAGGAATATTTGCTACTTGAACCAAGCACTGAAAACAGATAATCTAGCCTCTTTTTTTTTTTTTAGTTTGCATAATAAATGGGTTGAACACCATAAGATGAAGAGCTTTTAATTTTGCAGGGTTTGGTTGGCTGTCAAAGAGACATTAAAACAAGTGTTTTCCAGCCAAATTGCATCTGCTGAGGAGTGATGGATCCAAAGAGACGCTGCTCATGCTGCCTGTCTGCACGTTCCTTGTGGGCAGGACTGGAGAAGAAGAATTTAATGTTTCAATGTATAAAAACATTCAGGAAGAGCTCTGCGTTAAAATGTGGATTCCAAGCCACTGGGCCCTGGAGAAGTTTGGTGGGGTTTATTATGGCTGGTTTAAATGTGAAAAAAAAAAAAACCAAACAAAAAAGAGCTGTTTAAGCAGTTGGTTTTGTGACTCAACAACTTTATTGTATGAGGAACAATAAAACATAAAGTTAGGGAGAAATGCCTTGCTGCAAATTAACTGTTAGTTTTATAAATGCAGTCATCCACACTAAAACAGTTATTCCTGCTTATTTCTGGGATATTTCTGAGTATGTATGTTCAAAAAACAAGTGTAATTCTCTAAGTGTAAAGGACAGAAGCAGAAAGAACAATTTAATAAATTTTAAAAGGATGACATTTAGGAGGTTTTATGTCATTGAAAAATACACTGTTTTTTTAATCTGTGGTTAAGCCCGAGTTGGATTTGAATGTTTTAAAATGCTGGAAAGAAAGACTTCTTCTCCAGCTGTCTCTAACAACAAGGCAAAGATAATAGTAATTTCTCTTTGTATCTTGAGCATTTAGTGAGGAAGTTCAGGAAATTATTTTTGTGAATGCAAATTAGATACAAAGCAGGCTAAAATATTTAGTGGGCTCTGTGGAAATGATGCAATCCCAGAGAAAAATGGAAGCTCTGTGTGTAATCATCACAGGCACACAACAGACAGCCTGTGAGATGCTGTCCCTGTAAGGAAAAGCCAAATAAGAAATGAGAAAATCATAATGCCACTAATTGTAGGGTCGGAGACTAACACTGAACTTGTTCATTAAGGAGCCAGAGATTGTTCAAACATAAAAAGCATTTGTCATTCTGATTGATTACTTGCATTAACACAGTTAACAGTGTTAAAAAAGGCCTAAGTTACCCTGTTCTCTGTGGATCTGTGCAGTGAGGGGATTGTTTGATTTTACAGCAGTGCCTGACCCAAGCTGGGAAAGGGGCACAGGGGTGGTGGGAGCACTGTGAGAAATTCACTGAAATCTTCATCATTCCTAGCCCAGCATTTGAAAGGATTACAGCAGTAAGTGGCTTAATAAAATGTTAGTTTCGTAAAACCTCATTATCCTGAGCTATACACTTAATTCAGAGAAAAATAATGTGCAGTTGAATTAGTTTATGGCCAGAATCACCTGTCTTTTGGGGTATGATGGAGTGTAGCTTGTGTGTGTGTGTTTAATCACACACTCAGTGAAACAATGTGTTTTCTCATATGCCCATCTCCAACCAAAAGTAATTAATTTATAACTGAAGATTTGCTTATTATGCAGTTATGCATGATATCACGACAGATTTTCAGGGCAGGGACCAGAGAATATATACAAATCATAGTTATACTGGGTCCAGCCTGCTTGGTTTTAGTCAAGTACTCTTAGTCATAAGATCCTCATAAAATTATTTGTATCTTGGTGGTGCCTCAGGAGGTCACAGAAGCAATTATAATAGAGAGAGACCCATCAAAAGAGAGAGAAAAAGAAACCATTGCATTGGGCTTCTCTTTAAAGGTTCTGATTGGTTCTAAATACTGTTTTGGCCAGCAGTTAAATTTGGAAATATAATATACTAAACCCATGAGTTAGTTTTCCCTTAATCAGCGTGGCTTGTATGTAACTATATATTAGCTGATAAGAGTGATTAAATCCAGTTTTATGTCCCTCCTCAGTGGCATGCTGGTGATGACCTGTCTCAGAAGGGATGCTCTGATGTGATCAATGTAATTCAAAAGCAGAAATGCAAAAAAGAAATGCTCTTTCTTCAGTATAGAATGCGTGTTACTTGCACAGGTGAGGAAAGCTGTAGGAAAAGGGAAAACCAGGGTGGACTAACAACAGGTTTCACAGATGTAGACCAGAAATTCACAATTTGAGATTGGGTTTCAGGGTTACATGGATCTGAATCAGAGCTAGAGGAGTTGTACGGAATGTGGAGGAATTTGTGTGTGGAGCTCACCTGCCTGCAGGCTGCTAAGAGTTGTGTTTCAACAGAATGAGGAGAGAACTCATTTTAAAATACCTTTAAATCTTGTTTCAGGACTCTGGTTAAGATTGTAGACTTGTGCAATTAGGGGCAATAATGCTTAATTTGTTAGTGCCTGAAGGAGGTGGCTGCTCTGCTGTTTGGATGCACAAATATCTGACCACACGACTTCCACTCTGTGTGGAAATGCCAGTATCAGATAGCTTTGGGTGTTGTTGGCGTTGGAAACCCATATGAAACAAAGGAGTAAAATTCACCTTCACAGCTACCTTTGATGGAGTTCTTGTGAGCTGACTGGTCTGAAGTGCAGGGTTCTTTTTGGGGGAAAAGCAGGCTGCCTTGCTGTTTGTGAAGGTGGGAGAAGTGTGTGCTGGGAGACTGTTCTGGAAGGTGAATGCTCTGCTTGCATTCTTCTCCTCTGATTGTAGAGATTATAACAGAATGGTTTCATGCCTGTCATTATGTTTTTCCCAGTATTGGCTGGCATTTGTAATGAGTTTTTGTGCCCTGTGTCCCGGTGCAGAATGGGCGCTGCAGACAACATCTACAAAGGCCGGAGCACCTTCATGGAGGAGCTGACAGACACTGCTGAGATCATCAGAAAAGCCACCTCGAGGTCGCTGGTGATCCTGGACGAGCTGGGCCGAGGGACGAGCACACACGACGGCATTGCCATTGCTTATGCCACCCTGGAGCACTTCATCAGAGACGTAAGTGCCTGTGGCGCGGGTAGGCCGCGCAGGCCGTGGCTGTGCAGAAAGGTGCCGCACCCGCGCTCAGGAGTGTGGGGAAAGGACGCCAGCTCTGCGTGGATGTGTTGAGGGAGCCCCACACGAGGCCAAAGCGTGTTGTGTGTGTGCTGCAGGTGCAGGCCCTGACGCTGTTTGTCACCCACTACCCCTCGGTGTGCGAGCTGCAGCAGCTGTACCCCGGCGCCGTGGGCAATTACCACATGGCCTTCCTGCTCAGCGAGGAGGACGCCGCACAGCACACAGGTCAGCCACGGGCACCTCAGACACGAAGTAACGCTGATGGTGATGCCTTTTCTGACTGCCTAAAAGCAGGGGCCAGACTTCTAAAAAGCTGTTCATAGCCATTTTCCTCCTCAGACCTTGCCAAAAGCTTTTTCTTGCGTCCCGGCCTACCAACCCCAGCAGTCCCCAGGGGCTGCTGCCAGCACTCTGAGGGAGCACTCCTTGCTATTGATGCCTCACTGGGCTGCCCAAAAACTGGGGGCAGACAAAGTTAAGAGAATAAAAAGCAGTTATAGTTATTAAAGGGCCTTCAGGTACATTTTGGGCAGGCAAAACCCTCCCTCAGGAGCTACACCCAAAATGAGCAACAGGTCACAGGTTTTCACTCTTTTATAAGTTTGGTCCATTTGCATATTGGGGGTCAATGTTCCAATTACACCTTCAGCTTATGAAGTCATTTATTCCAGGTTTCTCCCCACAACTCACTGTTGTTTCCATTTCTGGCCCTGGGGCAGTGAGGTGTCCTTGATTGCCAGGCCTGGAGAGGAATTGTTGTGTCTGCCCAGAACGGGACAGCAGCAGTGACACTGAATGTGGAGTTTGGAGTTAGGCACCAAAGACCTGCAGGATCACAAATACATGAAAAATACAAAAGCTAAAATCCTAGGATGTCAGTGTGACAATTTACACCTCACCTGAATGTGATACACCCACTCCAGTCACACCTTTAGAGGGGTTGAAAAGTGGACATGCATTCCTTCACGTGTTTGAGGAGGATATCTGAGCTGGGGCAGGGGAAAGATTCGCCCATCCCAGCATCCACCTTCCCACAGCAGCCAAACACAAAGGATTAGGGAGGCAGGATTAGGGATCAAACATATGGCAGCTCCTTCTCTGAAAGATCTCGCTGTCTGGAAACATTTGCTATTTATGGGGCTTCACGAGCAGGATGTGTTTTGTAGCTCCCATGGATTTCATTTCAGCTGGGCTGCATAATTTAATGTCGTGTACTTTCAGTGTCTTTGTCCTACTGTGTCAAGCAGCTCCAAAATTTAGCACTCTGTGGAGTGAAAAAAAATCTGATTGTTTTGCAACTGTTCTGAAACATGATGACCCCAGTTCTTGAATTATAAGAAGTATCATTAAGGCCTGTTCACTGAAAAATTGTAAAACTTTTAAATGTGTTTTTTTAATGACTTGCCATTGCTATTTGCCATTAACCTTTCCCCTAAATAATTCTTCATATTGTATTATCTGCTTTCCTTGTAAGCTGATCAGGACAGGGGACTTATGTATTTGCCACAGAGAGGAGGTTTTGATTTTGGTTTTATGTTTTTAGGATCTGAAGGGGAAGAGAACCCTGAATTTATCACTTTCCTTTATCAAATAACTAAAGGAGTCTCTGCAAGGAGTTATGGGCTAAATGTTGCTAAACTGGCAGATATCCCTGAAGAAATCTTGAAGAAAGCAGCTCACAAATCAAAGGAGTTGGAGAGAATAGTGAACATGAAAAGGTCAGAATAAATGTGATTTTTTTTTCTTTATTTCCTTCTATACTACTTCCTTCTATAATTTCCTTCTATAATATTTCCTTCTTATGTTCTCATCTGTGATAGTGAAAATATGAACGACTTTAAATTAGAAAGTGTTTATTACTTACTTTGGAACTTGAAATTATCTTTGTTTACTAAAGTGTAGAAGGAAATATGGACATTCTTCTTCTGGTTTAACTTGAAAATAAATGTTTATAATATATTTGGATTGCCCCCACAAACACCCAGAATTTTATTGAAACTTCTGGGGATTTTATTATGTCCCTGATATCCAATTTTCATTCAGGGGTGTTTGTACCTTATGTATCAGAGCAGTTATGAAAATTCCTGTGTGTATCAAGTGGCATAATGGATTTGTAAATCCCGTAACATTATGTGCACAGTTTAGATATTCATAACTGTTTTCACTGGTTTTTTTTTTTCTTTTGCTGTTATTTTCCATGGCAGTCCTATGAGCAAAATTCAAGTAGCCCCTAAGGAACATAATGAACCAAGATCTTGGTTGTCTGATGGCTGTACCTAATCCTGACAGGATAATTTTACATGAGAACATTTTGACTACTAATTATTTATAGGTGCAAACTTTGGAACTCGACAGCGCTCGGCGCTTAACAACGTTTTTTATCCCCTCTTAATAAAGCCAAAGAGAAACTTTAGAAGGTACTTGACAGTTTATAGGAAAAATAATGCAGCGGCTCATGCTAATTGGAAATATCAGTCTGTAATTGGCAAAAGTGAAAAAAAAACAAATCTGGAGCAGGGTTTCCAGCTCAGAGGAGCCACACCTGGACCTGCTGGTGGCACTGCCCTTGTCACAGTACCCATGGGCCAGACACCTTGCCTTGTGTTTTTAAATCATATTATTTAAGAAAATCCACCGTGTAATTTCATCCAGTTTTGACATTACTGTTGTTGCCAATGTGTGTTAACCCATTTTAAACGTCTTGTAATTTGTTACAGCTCTTATAAATCAAAAAATGCTGAGAAGAAACAGGGAGGATGTGTGCGCTCGTTTATATTGAAAATGTGTTTTCTTTTTATGATCCTGCAAATTTGTATGAACTGAATGTTCAAAATTAAACAGGGCTGACTATAATGCTGTTTATTTCCTTTAACAATTAGTTCTTACCATTTGTTTATATCATTTTGTCAGTGCTGCTGGTGCTGTAAGTTGGTTATGAAATTAATTTGTTGGCTGACCTAGAGCAGGAACATGAATCTTAGAAAATATTAACTTGTTGTTTGAACATCACATAACATTTTGAGCTGTGCTATTTTGGACTGTGTATAAAATTTTACAGATGACTGTAGGACTTTTAGGGTTTGATGTGCTTCACTTAAAAATGTGTCTGTATTTTGATTAGGTTTTCTTTTTCCCCCACAGGAAAAAAATGAAGTCCTTTGCTGAAGCATGGAAGATAAATGATTCTCAGGAACTACAGAAATGGAAAAATATGTATGAACCTGAGGATGAAAGAAAGGACAGTTTTTAATCCTCAAATCATGGTTAAAGATGGAAGATACTGGAGGTGCAAAACACATGTCTGGAGACTAATGGGTTTTATCAGGGTGTAGTTCCAGGTGCACTGAGTTGACTTGTTTGCTTTCTGAGAGATCACAGATGCTGCATCATGTGTAATTTTCTCTCTCCACATCCCTTCCTTGTCACCCTTTTCCTTAAATGCAAACTGCCTATGGGGATTGGTTCTAATTTGTTTAAAAACCATGAAAGAAATTATTGATAAATTATAAGGTAACTTTTTATAAATAAAACAATGTGTTTCACCTTTATTGTACTTACTTCTGAAGAAGTATTTGTATGTGTTAGGACAATGTAGTTGAATCTCAACTCTGCTGTACAGCCAGCAACTGCTAACAGTGGTTATTATAAAGAGATTTTTTTCCTTGTTCCCATATTAATGCATTAAAAATTCACTGATTTTTTAGGGCACCCTTTTTTCTGATCTTTCCCCTGTCTGGCACAGTCTGGAGAAAGACTTAACTCCAAAAATAATGCTGGGGTATTGTAAGGGTGAGTGAAAGGGGCGATTCAGAGTGTGCAGCTGGCATCCCCAGTGCTCTGTCAAATGCAAACTGAAGCTGAAAAATTCAGAAGGGCTTCTCAATTTTTAAATTTCCAGTTACCACCACCAAATTTCGCATGGGAATATGATATCCAAATGGGTTTTCCCTACAAAGAACCAGACTAAACACACTGCTGTGCAAATGGACAGCGATGCTGACGTGCCTAAACCTCAGCAAATAGTCTGAAGCATTATAAAAATAATGCAGTGGTGTGGGGGGCTCGGCTGCCCTGCAGCCCTGAGGAGCCCCCACCCCAGCAGGGAGCCCTGAGGGGGCTGTGGTCCCCTGGGAAGCCCCAGGAGCAGTGTGGTGGCAGGGTTTGTCCCTGAAGGTTTGTCCCTTTGTTTGGCCCAGGGTTTGGCCCCGCCGGAGCAGCCCCTTCCTGAGGGACTGCAGGAAAGGGAGGGATTCTTTACATGTCACAGGCAGCTGCTAACCTGAAACAAACGATTCTCTGCAGGTGTCAGGACATCATGGAAACAGTTTGTCAGGCAACAGCGGGAGCTTCTCCTCCCAGACTCTGCAGTGCGCTGCCCTGAGCTGGAGGAGCTGAAAAGGAAAAGTAATCTTGCCAGGTGTGACTGCAGGCGTGTGTGTTTATCTAAGCCAGGCACTGTGAAGCACAGTGAGCCCAGTGCTCTGCTGTTGTGTGCACAGACACAGTGCTGTGGGTCTGCAGACCTCTGACCTTGCCACCAGAGGGAATGAATGAATTGGAATGAATTTAGAGGCGTTTAGAGGGGTCAGTTCCTGCATGTGCCAAGTGCACTCCCAGTCCTCACCCTCCAGGGAGCATTCAGACTATGCTCTGGCAAGGAAGGAAGAAAGGACCTGGATGCAGTGAAAGAAATGGAGAGCTGCAGAGAAGCCTGGGGAGGTGGCTTTGGTACTGCTGGTGCTGTCCAGAGCAAGCACAGCTGCAATGCCTGTGGCCACACTGCAGACAGGTAATGATGCTGAGCCCTGCTCATCTGCAGGGGAGCTTGTCTGGCTGTCCCGGGGGGCTTCTTGTGTCCGTGCCAGATAATCACTGCTTTGTTCACTGCTGTGGAATTCCTAGGGAGCGGGGGAGATGTGTGAGGATGGCAGGGTGCCCTGTGAGGGGCTGCAGAGTGCTGCTGCTGGGTTTGGGGCACATGGGTGATGGGGCAAGCAGGGACAGTGCAGGGACAGTGCAGCTGTGTCTGGGCCTTGTTCTGCTGATGCAGAGCAGAACCCAGGGTGTGCCTGGGAGCATTCGTGCAGCAGGAGATCAGACAGACAGACAGGCCCTCCTCAGCCTTGGGAGAGTGAGTGGGGTGTAAAGAAACAAAAACTTTACAGGAAACAGGGAAAAGCCTTACTTTTGTAAGAGATTTTCATCTTCATTCCTTCTGCTGTGGATTAGGGGTTCTCTGTCATAGCAGAAGTCCTTCTCAAAGAGAGCTGAGAAGCTGCTCTTGTCTTTTTTGTTAATTATTCTTTTATTGTCTTTTCAGTCCCAGCACACTAACCTTCATCTTAAAAAGAATGTGAAGTAAGCTTTGGTAGTGGGATCCTCTTGGAGATGTGCCCCGTTTTTAAATCAGAGTAATGAGGTTTTGTCTGTGTGCTGAGTCACACATTTGAGCCTCTAAGGGTAAAGAGGAGTGGCTGTGTTAGGTGGTGCCTGGTGATAGTGGGAATTCCTCCTAGTCTTGGGATGCCTTCACAAAGGAATGTTTAAGTCTCACTTCCCAAATATTAGAGTTTTTGGAAGCCTGCAGAGGTATTGGCTTCTGCTCCCAGCAATTGCTGAGAGGGTGAAACACTGGTGTGGGAAGTGCAGCTTTGTGCTGCACACACAGGCACAGACTTTGCACTTCCTGCCTTTCACCCTGGTTTCAGAGGCAGTGTTTATCACTTTACTGAGCTCTGTCACTGCTCTCCCTGCTCCCAGCAGAGAAAGGTTCGTGCCTTTTCTCTGGAAGGTGTTGCCTTCACACCTCAGAGCCTCAGGAGAGGGAGGGAGAGGGTGCAGCCCCTGCCTCCTCGTGTTTGGTCATTTAAAAAAGTTCCTGCAGAATGTGCAAAGCAAAACACATTACCAGGAGCAGTCACCTCTCCTGCTGCCAGACAGCATCTTCCACCGAGGGAATTCTCCAGAGGATTTCTCTTTTCGTTGCACAGTTTTCCAGAGGTGTTTGTAGAAATGACATGAATTTGCTAACACAAAAGTTTACAAGGTGTGTAAATCAATTTAGGGATCACTGAAATGTCAGCTGAGTCAGGAATAACAAAAAGCACGTTTCCTGCAATGAAATTAATGTTTGGTATTCATAAGTATCTGAAAGTAAATTATCCAGATATTTCTACTCTGTGTTAAAATACTGCTAATTTAATTAAATTATTTTAGTAGAAGTATTGCAGTAGTTCTGATATAAATTCTTTTTTTTATGGAAATAAAGGTTTGGTGGATTGCATTGCACAGAGATAGTGGGACTTCCTTAATTACACTACATTACATACAGATTTTTCCCCTGCCTAGACTTAGGGACAAGTAGAAAGCAAAGGATATCTTCTTAAGCTCCTAAAAATCTTTAGCAGTTTCTGAAGCAAGCACCTTGATTTGAGATGCAAGTCCTTGCAGGCCAGGTGTTCACTGTGAGGACTGTCTGAAAATGGACTGGTTCAGCCAAAAGTGAACTGCAGAGAGAGACTTCAGACATTTATAGTTTTCAAATATTTATGTTTTTTGGCACTTGCAAGGAATCTGTAATTTTTTTATTGCCTTTTTCCCAGATGTTTCCTTGAGAGTAAGTAGAAGTATTTCTTCAGGTGTTACAAAATAAGGTTGTTTTTATTTTAAATACTCATAGCTGCCCCTAGTAACAATAATGAAAAATTCTTTTGATGTTAATGGAATTTTTAACCTTTTATTTTTATTTTTTAAGCAGTCAGTTTCTATGGCTTTGCAATGTGCTGAAGGAAGAAGGATGATTCTCGGGAAAGAAGGGATTGGAAAATACAACACACAGCAAATTCCAAATGCACAATCAGCTACAAGGAAGTAGAAATCAACGTTGGGTTTTCTGAATCATAATAATCCCAATATCTAGAGTGAATTAAGACTCAAGAGTGAGTGCCATGAAGATTACTAGATATAATTATCTCGCTCTTATGTAACACTAAATAAAAGTTCCAGTGGAGGGCTGAGCTTTTCCCTCTGCCTACACATCGAGTTATTCCTCCTTGCATTGTGCTGTCTGCAGAATGCTGTAGGAATTGAGTTTTGGGGCATTCCCAATGTGAAAAACGCAATCACTTGCTTTTGAAATTTTAAAAGTTTAATAGTAGTAATATAATCCGAATAATAAAGTTTGAACAGTTGAGGTTAGGACAATATGAGACAATAAAAACAAAGAGTTACAGACGTCTGGGTGCCTATTAATACCTAAGAAAATTAATACAGCATAACTTTCTAACATAACGCATACAATAATAATTTTAATCCTTGCGAAAAGCCAAGCATAACATAGACATTTTTGACATTACCAGCATTCCCAGTGTGCAGTGAGCAGACACTCACGGTGCTGTTCAGGGCTGGGCTTTGTTCTGCTGGGTACCATTTAGCTTTGTAGCCTTAAACAAAAATAGGTAACTTTTTATTCATAACACCAGGGCTGGGGACAGGGCAGGGTGTGTCCCTGCTCCCGGGCACACTGTGCCACTTTGGGGACAGAGCCAGCACGGGTTCTGCGCTGGGCTGGGGCAGCCCCCACCCCACAGGGCCCCGAGGGAGCAGGGGGGCACAGGGTTCTGTAATTAAACAGGGTTCTGTAATTAAACCCTGTAATTACAGGGTTCTGTAATTAAACAGAACGCCTTGAAGCAGCATTTTCATCCTGCTGTAAGCCAGCCTGCCCAAGCGCATCGCCAGGGAGCGATGCAGCGTGTCATTTGAACCTTTTCCCCCCAAAATGATGTCAAAGTTTTACCAATGCAAGTAGAGGACACCAAGGTGTCCCGAGCCAGCCTTGCCCCAGGCTGAGGCAGGACAGTTGTCGGGGTCTGCTGTTATTTGTCTCTGCCCCGACACGGGGAAAGGTGGTTCTGGGCGGCCGCGATCGCGAAGGATGAGTCTGGACTCTCAGATTTTCGGTCTTCAGTCTTGTTTATTATCTCTTATCTACAAAGTTTTCTCTGTGCCCAGCCGAGGTCTGCTCAGCAGGACAGCCCAGTGCACTCTCCCCCGCCCACAGGGCGGCTGTGTCTTTTATAGTAAAAATTACGTGTGCCATATTTACCTTTATTTCCCAATACTATTCACCCTTATAGACAAGTCTACCTTCACCATGAACCAATCCCCAAGTGCCAACATCACCACAGAAAATGGAAGACATGAAGAAGAAAGAAGAACACAGGACCACGCCCTGAATCCTCCATCTTGCCTTCATGACCCCCTGTACCTATTTTTCTAAAATTTATATTTCCTTCCATAAATGTATAATTCACACCCAAAAAGCTCTCATTTCCTCATACACAGGTTCTTCTCCTTTTGATGGGTCGAAATCCAACCACCAAACCCTCTTGGCAGCATTCCAGGGTTTCCGAGCCCCCCAGGGGCTCCCCTGGTGCCTCTGCACATCCACAGTGATGTGCTGAGGTCCCACAGACAGTGTCCCTGGGACCACCCTGCTGCCCACAGCTCTGGCTCCTGTCCTCCTTGGCTGCTCTGGCCT